GCATGTTCTAGCACAAATGCATTAAATATTAGAAAATGCATATGATACCTTCCCCGTTTGTATTCAACTTTTTTCTGAAAAATCCCACTGGCTTTAAATAGCTAAAATACCTTTTCAGATCTATTTTCTGAAAGTGTCAACTGTTTTATTCATGATTACCCCGTCAGAACACATACCATTGATCCATAAACTATGCTGTAATATGAGCCTATTTGATAAGAAGTTCAAAGTGTGGTAACCCATAACAACCAATCCCTCTTCTTTGAACTGAAGTCAGATCAGTTCTATATATGTGGTTACTGCATTTTGTAGTTTAAAGGAAAACTATTGTGTGCCCCAGTGATATAGAGATGCTAACAGCTTAGGCAGGTCATGACTGATGAAGTGGAACCTAAACACCTGTTCTTTTTGCAGGAGCTGTGATGGGTTTTGCTAATGATATAGTACATGATTAGCTTCATTTAATTTGCTGAGCCTGATTGTTGTTTGCAGAATTTTAGGATGAATACCTTTCTTCATACTCAGTTCATTAAGATAGATGAGTTATCTTAACTCCATTTGTTATTTTATCTCATGATAATTTTCTTCTATAAAGGTTCATCTCACAAACATAAATATCACTTAAGTGTGGAATTTGGAATTTTTTCACAAGAAAATGGTATTTAACTGTTAAAAGCCTAATTTTCTCATAAGCCTTTATTTTATTACCACTTGCTCTCCTCAATAGATGCCTATCTGAAACCACAGTTATCACCAGTGTCAGTATACCCAAATAATAAGAATACATTTAATAAGTTTTATTAAAATATTAAATGTTCCCTGAATGGCATTTATTTATAATCTCTTTTGTTATGCATTATTTACCTGGTGATCCTGCCGGCAGCATTATCTTTTTTGATCGTAATGACAATGAGGAGCCTAGGTTACTTCATAGTTTCTCACTATTGTCCCAACCAGCACTTCCCCTGCCTCCTGCAGAGAGTATCACAATCCATACAGAAGGAGTCTAGAGAGCTTCAGAGTGTTGAATGGAGACTCCACCCCTCAGCCCTGAGGGGGGAAAAAAGAGACTCAATGGTTATATGACCACTAATAAAATAAGGAAAATAAGGTATTTTCACCCCCTTTTTTTATAAAGCTTCAACGTCAGGACTTTTAGGCAGTGGCTTTGCCATTGGGTATTTCATATAGTTTGACTTTACATCTACTTTAGGGAGTGATTATCTATGCAACAATCTTTGAGAAAATAGGCCCCATGCACACCTGTAAAATCGCAGGTGCAAACAGGGCCTTTCTTTTACAGACAAAATGCACCAATAATTGCTAAGATAACCCAATATAATGTGTATGTACTAAATTAATCCGATCGATACAGTAATGCCTTAACTGATTTGAAAAATCAATTTTTATAAAAAAAAAAAAAGGACTATAGAGTAGTGAAATTGCTATATGCATTATGTTTTTTTGAATTGAGCCTTCTGTTCTTTATATTGCAACATCATTACATATATTGTATGCAGTAGTATTCTGTCACATCTGTGTTATAAACATGTATGCTGTGTTCTAATTGCTTGCTTCATTCTACATTCTTTGTATTCTGTATGTTTTACAAGACAGGGTATACCGGTAGTAATGATTTTCATCAGTTTTTAGTAGTCAGAACATTTAAAGATTTAATTGTTTTGATTGTAATTATTGTGAGAAATTACTAAACAAACTGTAAGCTTGGCCTTTTTTTAACAATTAAAATGCTTATTCATTTTATCTATAGGTTTTTGCAATTTACTTTAAGAATTGGAAGTAAATCTGTCCTGAGTACATGCAAAGCCCCTGATAAGCCAGGGGAAGGTGTTTTACTCCACCATTCCTATGACAATGGCATTACATGGAAACTGATGGAACACTATTCTTATCTTAACTACCATGAGCCAAGGTATGTGGAGAACATTTGTGTCCAAAGTGATGTATGCTGCTATTAGAAGGATCTGCTATTTACTGCCTAGACACTTGATAGCAGGAGCACAGGAAGTTTTCAATTACTATTTTCATCTAAGTAGAGAACATTTCAGCTGGTACATTTTGAACCTGGAATGTGCAATAGAAAGCAATAACTAGTAATTGTTGCACATAAAAATATGATTTTATCAATGCAACAAGGTTAACATGAGTGCCATGCCAGGGCCAAACAAATTTTGAATTTTACCTATTCACTTGAAAATGTTTAGCCTAAAGCTAGTCTATATGTCATCAGTGTCTAGAGAAATAGAAATACTGGCCCTGTGAGAGAGGTTTACATTTCTATAAGTGAAACTGCAAAAAGGCATACAAAGCAACTATTTCTCCATAAGTGAAAAGGCATAATCTCTAGGGTGTGTTTGGGCATCACAATTATAGAGTTTTGGGGTTTTCATAGTGATAAAACTCAAAAGTGTACAATAAATGGGTTCCAATCCAAGGAAGTTCACCAAAACATCCATCATGTGGGGAGTGGTGCTTTGTGGATGAAGCCACTGGATTAACAGTTCACACTATATCAGTTAGCATCACAATACGGTTGTGAGTTTTAGTGTACAATTTCAGAACACAGACTGATATTTGGTTAAATGTATATAATGCTAAAAAAAAAAGAAATGTAGGTGTGTAAAATGTTCAAAAATCGTTTAAGTGTGTGAAGGAACTTCAGTACTGGACTGTTGATGACCTATTCTGCTTCACTGTATCCTGAATCTAATTCCACTGCTACGATGGTGACTGAGGGTATAAAACATTAGGATGAGTTTGAATGTAACATATATAGAAGGCAACATCCGCCCATCCATGGACCATGGGCAGTTGTACAATACACTCCTATGTGAATGGTTGGCTTTAACTCCATATGGCATATTGCAATATGGCATATTGTATTTGTTTGTTTTACTGACCACTGACTATATATTATGAAAAACACAGCTTCTGTACTTGTATATTGTCAAAATTAAGATGACATTGAAACAGCCACATAAAGTATTACTGTCTTTGCATAGTTTTATTGGCTTGGTTGTAACAGCTAAATAAAATAAACATAACATTAATTTAATTCAGAAGGGATATTTCTCTTATAGGTTGAGTCTGGTGAGCTGATTAATCTGCTGACCCTACACTCAAGAAGTTATCTCCCCGTTATATTTGCTGGCTCTTTTCCTTTTTTTTTTTTTTTAAGTATTCTTTATTTGTGGTTTACAC